TAATATTATACATGCAGATAAATTTTTTTCTCGTTTTTGTTAAAAATAATTATAAGATCGTAAAATTTTCATATACTTATGGCGAAATAAGATTTAAAAATTAAAAGAATATACTCAATCGAAACGAAATTAAAAATACGTAAATATACTTACTGATTTCACTGATAGCTGTGAATAATATTTTCTTGTTGATCGTTTGATAAATTTATCCATTTTCAAGTTTGAAGCATATGAAAAATGAAACTATTTTTATCTGTGTTGGAGTAAACAGATAAAGAAAGTGATTTGGTTTTGATATTTTAAGTGAGAAGTGTTTGGAATTCTTTATAATTTAAAAAGTGTATTATTGTCCTTTAAACAATACAACATTTTTGTAATTTAATAACATTTTAAGGGTAATTTCATTTTTTAAGACTTGAAAGACTACTGTGGTGAATATCAAAAAATAAAAAATAAAATTGGTCAACGTGGAAAAGGGCATGTTAGACGAAGCTAAACTCAAAAGTACCCCTCCGTGCGTATCATCTTCAATCATTTCCTTTTAATTATCTTTATATGTGATTTATTTTGATTTAACTGTGTATAATTTATACAAGGAAATTTTTTAATAATAAGAATCCCTTATTTTAATTTGATAATTCCACGGAAAGTTTCCGATTTCATACAATTGAAAATTTGTATGTGCACAAATACACGATTACAATTGTATGAAATATGCAGAGCAACGCTGTTCTCTCACAAAGATTTTGTAATTATATTAGATTTTCATTATATTCATCTCATGTATATTGTCAACCGCAGTTAAGTAACTGCAATTTAGGTTTATGGAATCGCGAATTTTCGTGTTCATTTGCTGTCAAGCCTTTTTATTATGCTCGCAGAAGAGGATTTTTTCTATTTAAGGTAAAGTAATTCCACTTTATTCTTAATGGGCCTTCATCTATATTAAATGACTTGTGAATTGTGATTTCCATTTGTATAATTTTAAGTGCCTATGCTTCATGATCTGGGTGTATTCTTTACTCTTATTGATTTATTGAATTGAAGCGTATGCCCTAATTAAAGCAATAAATATTTGAATTTTATTTCGATTATAATCAATCGTGATGTCTGATTAGCATGCTCATATTAAATGGTAAACTTAATTGTTATGATGAATTATATAGATAGATGTTTAATCTGCTTCCTGTTAGCTTTTGTAGTCGAAGGCTGAGTTTTAGGAGTGGAATGTAGTTATTGGTCCAGTATGAATTTGAGCTCTTGAAGTTCTCTTTTTCATATACTGGAATGAGTATTGTAGTCCATGGTATGAAAAAACCCTGCGGTGGCCCACCTCACTGTGAAGCGCAGATTCTGTGCCTCAAGGCTCAATCTGTGAGGCAAAAAATTGAGGCGCACGCCTCTACATCTGAGGCAAAAAAAAGAGGCGTGCGTCTCATTTGAAGTATGTTTTTTCCAGGTTTTTGAAAGGGAATTAAAAAAAGCCCTCTTTAAAAAAAGAGAAGGCCCATTTAAAAAGACATTTTGGGCCAAACAAAATATTAAAAGTGGTAATTACACAAAACCATACTTTAAGTATTAAAACTTCTAAAATGAGATTGGAAGTTTAATATTTTCAAAATCAGATTATAATTAAAAATTTTAATATTAATAATTATATTAAAAAAACAAATCAGATCAGATTCAATTCCTCTCTCTCCTCTCTCTCTATACCATCTTCATCTCTCACCCGTCGTCGTCCTCTGTCGTACATCCGTCGTCGCCGGAGACCATAGTTTAGCACGCCGCTGCGAGAAGCGACGCGTCCTCTCCACCGTCGCTATCGAGGGCTGCTGAGCATCGGCGACACCGCTGTGGAAGAAAATTTCCGCCGCACTGCTAGCGTCAATCGGGCTTTGCACGCACGAAATAGCGATGATTGTAATATTTTGTGCCTTGCATTGAATGTGCTCGTCTCTTCACGGTGATCATTTCTCTCTTTTTTCCCGCTTCTGCATCTCCTTTTTTGGGTGGTGGTGTGGTGGTTTGGGGATTTTTCGTACGGTGGCTGGGTGGTTTCCGTGGGTGATTGGTTGGAGTTGCAGATGGAGGTGGTGTGTGGTTGATTGGAGTTGATGGTGGGTTGCGGTGTCGTGGTGGGTTGAGGTGCGGTGGTTGTACTGCCATGGTGTTGAGATGATTTTGGGCCTGAAGATGGTGGCCACGCCAGATTTGGGTGATTTTGTTCGTTGTTGGCTGTGGTGTTGATTTGTGGCGACGTTGCTGGCTGTGTTGGCGATATTGGTGATTGTGGTTAGTTTGTGGTGCAGGTTTTTTTGTTGCGATGCAGGCGATGGTTCGGTGGTTGTGGTTGTGCGGACGACAGTTGTTTGAATCTGTGTTGTGTTTCGTGACCAACTGGAACCGTATAATGGATTAATTGTGACATTAAAACTCAACAATTTGTGACTAAATATTAATCTGGGCCATGTGCAAAAATATTTTGTAACCTGTGCTGTGATCATTTGAAAATAACCCGTGATTATGAACAAAATCGTGAGTTGTAACCTGAATTGTGACTTGTGACCTGAGTTGTGACATAGACTATGACTTGTGACCTGAGTTGTGACCTGAGCTGAGACTTGGGAATTGAACTTTGACCTAAGTTGTGACTTGGGCTATAACTTGTGATCCGAGTCATCAGAATCAGAGCGGCTGCCGGGAAGTCACCGGAAAAGTATGCCGGACAGTAGCAGGAAGTTTACCGGAAGGTCACGGGAACGGTCGTCGGAGCGGCAGAGGTGGTGAAGGTGAGATAGGTTAATTATATTATATTAAAATTAAATATTTAATAGTAAATTAATTTATTTCATAAATAAAAATTTGAAAAATTTTAATAAAAATCTGATTT